AAAACTCACTTGCATTATTATTATTATTATTATTATTATTATTATTATTATTATTATTATTATTATTTGTGATGACTAGTTGGTAAAAAAATATTTGTTATTTTATGAAGTTAAGGTATATTTATTAAAATAAAAATAAAAATGAAAAAATCCCTTATTTCTATTAATTGTCATAAAATGATTTGAGAAATTGTGTTTGAGTACATTTAGGGAATATTCTCTAATTAATTAAGGAAAGGCCTTTTTTTCCTCTTAACTTTTTATAATAAATCAAGAATATTTATTAGAATAAAAAAATATAAAAAAAATAGTACGCTGCAAGTTGAAGAATATAAAATTACGAAAAAGGGCCTGGGGTATACATAAGAGACTGACAGTTGAAAATTTTGCATGGAAGTGGACAGATTCCGATGAATCTGAATCCAAATTTGTGAATATTAGTTAGATACATTGTATTCACGCACCCCAATGGAAAGTGGATGTCACGTGCCTTGCAAGTGGCCTCATAAATCTTTGCTTTATTAAACCACCACTAGCCCAATGTTTTCACAAATCCACTCACACTCACATTTTACATATATTTTTTATTTATTTAAATTGCAAATATATAAATTTAAGAAAAAATATATAGTTACATGAAGTTTAGGGTCTAGGGTTTAAGGATTAGGGTTTAGAGCTTGATCAATATAAAATGGGTCATTTTTCTAAAATTTGAACTTTGTTGATATTGTCTTAGTTAACTAACTATCGATTATCACTGTGTGATGTACGGGATCGCAAACGGGAAGAAAATTTAAATATATGATAATTGAATTGTATAAATTAAAAAAATATATATCTACATCGGGATGTGTAAGCGAGGGAGAAAGAATTAAAAAAGTCGATCCCGCAAGGGATGTCGTCCTAGTAGTTGGAGCAAATAAATTTGCGTCAATTGACCCAAGTTCGACTTTTGCTCACCGTTGCTAGGTCGAGCTTGTGATCACACATGGTTAGCCTAGTGTGGTTTACATCTCTCGTATGGTTTAAAGCTATTGTACGAGTGTAAGTTTACCCAGTGTACCTATATGGTTAGCTACGAGTTCCTTCATTACCATAAAAGATAAATGAAAAAAACTATCCGAACGGATTAGAATTTAGCTAGTGGATTCGCAAATCTGATTTGCTATGAAAATCGTTAGAAGAAAAAACCTAGAAATAGCCGAAATAGGAGATGAAGAGAAAAATATATTAATATAAAAAAATTACAAATATATCATTAGAGTTTCTTACGTTGCCCTAACGTTTCTTCCTTTTATATATAAAAAATGTCGTTCAAGATTTCGGTACAAGTATTAGAAAATTAATAACAGTTTAAACCTAATTTGCTGCAATAACATAACAATTTTAAGAGGTGAAACTAATTATCCCTTGACTAACAATTAATTTTGTTCCATGTTGATTTTTGCATATACATATAATATATATATATATATATATATACACACACACACACATTAATTAACTTTCTCAAAATGAAAAATATAAAAACAGGATTTTCAATTACAAGAGGGATAGGTAGTTACAATGCCAAGGGGGTAGCTGAGAGTGGACGGTCAAGGTTGAACCCACAGCTCAGTTTCACCGGCCAACAACCACCGTCTGCCGCTAGTCTTTCTCGCATATCCGAAGATCATAATAATGCGGGCCCCTCCGACAACGACCGGAGGAAATCTTCCCGTTCGTATTCTGCCGCCTCCGGCAGTGGCAGCGGCAGTGGCGGTGGATATGGGGCCTTGGGCTCGTGGGACCAAACTCATCCTATAATCTTCTCCGTTGCCCAACCCAATGGAGCTCATAACATCGATTCTCAGGTAAATATTTTAGAAAACAAATTAAATTATCGGACCTTAATTTTGTTTTATAGTTTGCGTATTTTGTCGTAATTATGAATTATATTACGTTTAATTATAATTAATTTCGATGTCTGTCATCAGTTTCATTTCAGCATGTCACAAGAAATGGCATCAATGGATAAGCTACTGAACATCCCACAAGATTCTGTCACGTGCAAGATTCGTGCTAAACGCGGTTTCGCTACGCATCCTCGTAGCATTGCTGAAAGGGTATGTACTATTTTTATTTTTATTTTTATTTCCTAATTAGTTAAAATATTTTTAAAATTTTTACACTTTTTTTTTTGTTATCATGTGGAAGTTCATTAATATTTCATTTAATTTACAGATACAAAAAAATAGAAATACAAGGATACGAAAATAAACGAGAAATGACTAATATTTACGAATTGATCAAAAGAAGGATAAGTTTAGGAATATATTCACCTAAAAAATATAGAAATAAGCACTTCAGTATGGAAATTTCATT